GGATGTAATGGTGTACAAGTACTTTGTTACTGTATTTTAGTACATTTTTCATGTACTTATACTTAACTTAGGTAGATTTAATCATGGATACTTTCTAATTTTACACCACTACAATTTACATAAAGTACTTATACTTTCAATTCTAATGCTTTTCTTTACACGTTACATGACACATTGTTTCTCATTTATTTGTTTAGCTTTGTTTGAGAGATTGAAAATAATCAAATGCTAGATGGGGATTGGTCCACTGAGTGAGGAGGTAACATTGGACCCGCCCTCCAAGAAGAGTGAGGTGACCTTCATTTACTGAGCCTCATTCCAGAGCTTCACATTCCCAAATGGATTCCAGCATGGAGAGTCCGCCAACAGAATTGTGCACCCTTGGTCTTATATGAAAGACTTGTCCTCTGTAACTGGCTCAAAAAATGACTCCTGGTGATTCCCGTGCCACCTTTGTCTCCGCTTTGAGCTTTTAAAAACTCTATAAAAAAAACATATTGAGGTAAGTTGCTAAGTTGCATGTGAAAGTCATAATTAAAAGCTTAGCCAGCTTTTACAAAAGTGCCAATAGTGAGAAGTAAACATGATTATCATGCATAACATCCAGGTTTTTCATGGGTGTTTGCTTCAAAGACATCGCTAATCCTCCTAATTATCAATCACTCTTGATATGTTTATGCAAGGCCGTCATACATGCCGGGATTTACCGGGGGTGAGTATGACATAGCGGAAACATTGTAAGCTTGTATGAGCGATGCAAACGACAAAGTTTAAACAGAGTGTGCATGAGGAGAAATGGGCTTGTGCGCGCTCGCACACACATTTAATAGGCGTTCCCTCTCGGGAGCGGGTACACGTTTGTGCATGTGCATTTTTTGTGGGCAGGACTTTTCAAGAATTCGCAAAAACCCTCCACTATACCTTTAAGCAGAACTCCATGCCCCTTTAGTGACTTCTTTGAAAAAAAAAACAAAAAAAAAACACTACGAATCTAGCCTTTTCTCCCTGTGTTACTGGAGAAACTGAGAGAGCTGTGCAGATGCAGCGTCCTGCAGAAACACCCGCCTGAACTTATGGAGAAAGGGACTCTTTCTAGTTTCCATCATTTAAAATAAATCAAACGTGCAAAATTTCAAAATATACCCACCTAGATGAGAAAACTTGACATAAATATCTTATATAATCCAGAGTATGCATTTAATTCACACATCATAATAATTTATGCAACTCCCTTTTTTTAAAAAACATGTCCTTTTTGGCAAGTAGCACTAAGAATTGGTAATGTGATGATAGATTACAGTCCTGTTTCGCTTCTTTGATTACTATTCAACGCAAAAAAGTCCAACTAAATAGACCTCGATTCATCTAGCTAAAAAAGAAATTTTGGTTTGGGTCAGATATTCTTAGCAAAGAAAAAAAGTAATAGATGAGTTAATTTGGAAGAATTTAAATGAGCAAAATCATCTGCCAGTGAATTGTACTTGACAATTCTTGTTTAAAAATATTCTCAAAATATATATATGAGTGCTTAATTTTGTTCTGTATAGTCTGTTCAATTTGTATCATTTCTGACTAAAATTCACCTGTTTGTTTCCAGAGAAAGCACAGCACTCATCTCCAACCATTGCTCCCACTGCAACTGCCACCAACATGTAGGGACCTGGATCCAGAGAAGGGGAACTCCATCCTGCAGGTCTGGTCAACTTTTACATTTTTTAATGATGCAAGACGTTCACAGAGTTCTATTCATGATCAAATTATTTTATTCTGCTGTGTTGAAATAGAGAAATATAAAAGCAGCACGATAATGAACCTTATAAAATGTCTGAGAGCCCTGAATTAGAAAGCTGTCTTTACAGCATTGTTAAACCATGGAATTTATGATTAAACTGGAGTTAAAAATTACAATTGAAAGTGAGTTTGATGTTGTAGCCATGTGCTAAATTCAGATTGAATAACATATGGTATATTTCTTTGTCGAAATAAACACATTCAAAAGTGTATCTTTCATATTTTTTGCAATTAATGATATTTCACTTTGCAGATCATCACTGATATTCCAAAATTCCAATTCCCAAGCATGAACTTTGACTGAAGCTAAAAGTGAAACAGGCATTATCCCCATCGTTGATCAATTCAATAACATTATTGATGTATTAAAGAAAATATACATATAGTACTTACACTTATTAATTGTTGTGAAACTTTGCAGTCCATTCAGAAAGTACTTCTAATACTTTAGATATTTTTAAAAGCAAGTACTTTTTTACTTTTACTAAAGTACAAATGCCAGTGTCATACTTTTACTAGAGTATTTATTTGTACTTGTACTTAAGTACCTTTTCTGAGTACTTTTTCCACCACTGGATGGGAGAGTCTGTTTTCTGTTCTTCTGCTCCAATAATGGCTAAAGTATTTTGTTCATTAAAAAAATCTTATTTATTGTTTATGTCCAAATCTGACCGGCCTGCTATATATGTGCTGTATGACTCTCAACCTCTTTTTTTCTTCAGCAATTGAGAGATTTCATTTCATATTTCCATCAAAGTGGATGCATCTCTCTTCCTCTCAGGCTCATGAAATTGCTGCGTAGTCCCACTAAAATAGACCTGGGTTCTTTCTCAGTCAGATTATGCAAATATGTTTTTTTTTCTTAATTTAATTGTAAATAATCTCACTTTATTCATTCCTGCTTAAATCAAATGTAATATACAGTAAAATACAGTTATTTAAGGAAAAATGGCTCATGCATAATTTAATTTTTGCATGTTTTCAGTACAGGGACCACAGTAGGGGCCGGGACCAGTTCTAAGGGGGCCCTACTCTCTGTTTAGAACTGCCCATGGTTTCTGTGAAGCCGTGTCATTATGACCCAGATTATAAGCTCAACCTCTGCACAGTACAATTGTCTTTGAGAACCAGCTAAAGTACAATACCTTTGAAAAAAATCTCATTAGTGGGATTTTTTTCAAAGGTATCGTACTTGGTTGAGCCATTGGTTGAGTTTATCCTCACGGTCATAATGACCTGGCTTCACAAAAACCATGGGCAGTTCAATACAGGGATTAGGGCCCCCTTAGAACTGGTCCTGGCCCGTTATGGCCCCCGTACTGAAAACATACTCTGCAAAAATTAAAATATACATATATGAGTCTTTTTTCCTTAAATAACTGTATTTACCTTTGATTTTAGCAGGAATGAACACAGTGAGATTATTTACGATAAAAAAAAAAGAAACTTATTTCAAGCGCATAATCTGACTGAGACAGAACCCAGATCTATTTTGGTGAGACTACCCAATAATTCAGCAGCAATTTCATTAGAATCTTATATGAAAGCGAAAATGTCAGGCTAAAGTAGGCAAACATAATAAAAAAGACTAGCTTCTTGCTCACTGCACTAATTTATTTCCCTTAATAGCAAATAATGAAATATGAGTGAGAAGAAAATACAGTGACTCATTCCTCTTCCATGAATCAGAGACACTCCTCTGGGACGCCAAGTTTTCTCAGGAAACGCATCAATGGGCTGTCTGTCTTTATAGCCATTCACTCCACTTGATTCAAAAATACAGGCTAACTTCCTATTCTAATTAAATGAGTCATATGATGAATACAGAATAAAGCATAATGCTGCCAGTCTGCAAAGAGCTGGATGAACTCATCACATTAGTTCAAAATATATTCAAATGGTTTTCTACAACATAATCATCATGTTTGAACCATATTATCATGTTATGACAGGATAATTTTCAAAGATTTATTTTCTGTTTTGACAGCAACAGGCTTCCATAAACCAGGGACTTTTCCATGTAATGATCTGATGAAAGGCCTTCAGGTGTATCATATTATTCCCCCACTGACAAATATAAAGAGCAGTGGAGGAATGAAGCACAAAAACCAGAGGTTGCAGGAATCTAGTTTCTGGTTCAATTTAGCTTTTCAGCCTGTATACCCAAAAGTAACAGGTGGCCCCCTAAAAATGCATATTCACTTCGCTCTTTAATCATTCAATATAGATAAATGTATGATTTTAAATGGTTTTTTAACTATTTAATTATTGTGCATTTCATAACTTCATAGTAAATAATGTATGTAAAAACCTACTGATTTCAATTGATTAAAATTCATTTGTAACTTTATTGAAGATTAATTGAATTAGACATATAATTTAATATCATACTTAATATTTAAATCATGTTTTGAATGAATTAATAACTGGCATTTACTTGTTTTTTGGCATATTATTATTTGATGGGACTTTTTTTTTACATTACGATAGCAGAAACCACATTGTTCACTGTTAAAGAGTCAGAAGTCGTCTGGGGTGCTGCTGCCCTCTTGTTTTTTTTTTTTTGTCTGAGTATTTCGATTATAATTTACTTAAATAAAATTTCTTGCATTTAACCATTTATGAGAAAAAATATACTGCAGAATTGTGGATTACGGTTGTAATTTGTGATGGAAAAAAGAAGGAATTGCAGGATTTAACCTCATTATAGCTTCAAATCACATCCCTGTTCTTATCTTTTTGCTGATGCTGTAACAGACTCACAATGCTGTTCATTTTCTAGACATTTAATAAACATTTAGAAAATGTCAGATTTGTCTGAATGGCATAAGCTGTCTAAAATCTTATCCGTTTATTTCACACATTTCAGTATTGCTTATTCAGTCACCAGATGACAAACCGGGAATACTAACAGGTTTTCTGACCTTCTGTCGGCCTACATGCTTTTTCTTTCACAATATTAAACCTCCACCCAATCTTTATTATTGTCCCCCTTCGCGGTACTCCACTGGCCTTATGTGGGTAATAAACCAAATAAATGGCTGTTTTTTTAATGTTTGCAAACACAAACTGTGTGTTAATAAATCTCTAGATGCTTCTTTGTTAGAAAGTATTTTTTCCACAAAGTTGTTAATTTTCAAACACTCTTTATGTTCCTAATCAGCACAGCAGCAATGATAGAAGTAATTCAACATTTCTTCAAAGAATTTCTTTATTTCTTTATATGTTACAGGTACGTTGGATCCTTGCGCATAAACACATATATAATTTAAAAAAAATGGATGGTGGAGCTGGAAGAAACCTGAATAAAAATATGAGTACCACTTAAAACAACTACTTTTCAACCCCTCTGTTTACTGGATCTGTAGAGATAAGATGCTGTTGCATAGCTAGCTTTGTTTCGGACACAGTTTGTGTCTGTCGTCATGACAACAACGAAGCAAACCGCTGCAACATAAAATAAAACAGCAGATTCCAAAGTAAAATGATAGATTGGCAATATATTCAAACTGCTCCCATTTCCACCTTGGGACCGCAAGTCACTGCATGGTCCTGCATACGGATAAAATAATCCAGCTTGCTCCAGATTATCTGGAAAATCATGGGTTTATCTGTTTATGATCCATGCTGGTACTGCTCCAGTGAGCAGGAATGGAAAGCTTGTACTGCTGTGGACCTCATATCTTCTTAGCTTAAGGTTTAACACATAACGGGCCACTGTCTCAAAGGAGACAGCGCCCCCCTATGGTTGAAAGGATGAATAACCTGCAGAGACATCATGAGGCCTATTATGCTGCACGGTCTGAAACTTGCTCTTAACCGGTTCAGGATTGTGAGCAGAGTTCTTCTGGACAGAACCAGAGGCGGTTTGATCACCACTGCATGTGTGGAGGCTGCGTGTGAGACTGACTCTGGCCTCTGAACTCTGTGTGAAGCAGCTTGTTGGCCTGCGGCGAGTCCTGGCCTTGTAGCCAGTCCTGATACAGAGTGTTTAAGATGGGGTTCAGTTCTGGTAGGCGGACTGGCAGGCTACTGTAGACCTCCTCCATCTGCTGAACCAGGGCTTTATCCACTCGACCAACAGCCTCACTCTCTGCCTGACCTCGGCCACTCAGGCATCCTGAAAGAGAAAAAAAAGCTCAGCTAGAATCTTTTTACCGATCCAAGCAGGAAGTAGAATCTCTGAGCTTTACCTCCAGGGCAGGACAGCACCTCTACCAGCTGGTAAGGCACACGGCCTTTTCTCATCCGGTGCACCAAGGTCTGGATGTTCCTGAAACCATAGATGGCGGCGAACTGCAGTAGTGTTTCCCCGTCCCGCTCCAACGTCACTTCCTGGAAATCCCGATTCCTGCAAAAACCAACAACATTTTCTTCAAGAGGACAGAAATGAACCGTTATCACTGACACAGCGGCGCCTTACAAAGATGCTCATCCCCCTTCAAATTTCACTATTAATCATAAAACATTCAATGTTTTCATTGGAATTTTGTGAAAGATAAACACAGAAACAGGTAGATAACTGTGATGTGGAAAGAGAAAGATTGAGAGAGTTTGGATTGTAGAATTTTGGGGCATCAGATGAACTTTCAGAAGATGCTCTCCTCAAAATCTGCTACATGTACCAGAAGGCCCTGATTGTAGCAGGTCTGTAGGCGGTAACGGTAGCATCCCAGCGTGTTTAGCATTAAATGATTTGTGTCTGCTGCTGACCTATAAACGGGGCGAGGCTTTAGGGAGGCGGTGATAAAGGTAAAATATCACAGACCATATCTGTGACTTTATGAAAGAGTAAAAATACTGATGTTACATTATGTTTTAGTTAGAAAACTTTGCAGTAAATTGCTGTAAATAAAAAAGGTTTAGAATAATTTTACTCATTTGATTTTTTTTCTTTAAAGCTGAAGGATCAATAAATAAAGTTAAAAATTGATCAAATAAACTTTTGTCTTAATTTTTTCCTCTTTCTATCCAACAACATCTATTTTCTGACACGCTTAATCCCAAGTGGGGTCACGAGGGGTGCTGGTGCCCATCTCCAGCTGTCTACGAACGAGAGGCGGGGTACACTCAGGAAAGGTCACCGGTCCATCGCAGGGCAACATAGAGACAAACAGCAACATTCATGCACACACTCACACCAAAGGAGAATTTAGAGAAGCCAATTAACCTAACAGTCATGTTTCTGGACTGTGGGAGGAAGCTGGAGTACCCAGAGAGAACCCACGCATGCTCAGGGAGAACATGGAAACTCCATGCAAAAAAGACCCCAGCCTGGGAATCAAACCCTGAACCTTCTGGCTGCAAGGCCCCTACTGCGCCAATGTGCAACCCAGCAGTTATAAGTCAGAAAATCGCCTAATTTATGAGAACTTTCCAAACATCTGAATAACACCGATTCTACGAACATTTTCCTCCTTTCATAAAAATGCTGTTTTGCTGCCATTTTTCCTACATTCCACTCACGAATAGGTTTCATTTGTCCTGCCATAATCATAAATCATTTTACACAAAACTCTGTTGGTTTTCACTAAGCATATTAGCCATTAGTGAAATATTTACCATAAAATACTTTCTGTGGAGAAAAAAGCTCTAACTGGTGGGTTAAAAACAAACCAGAGCCTCATTCTTCCGTCTTTTTATCAAATAGAGTTATTAAGTAAAGTGTATAAATAACAACAGTGTTTGTACTTTAATGGTATCCTTCTCTGCTTAGTTTCTATAAATTTTACATATTATTCAGGGAAATAAAAGCAAACAAAGGCTACATATGGAAGAGAGGAGATGCTGTTTAACTACCTTTTCTATTTGCACCAGTAAATATGCTGCATTTTCACAGTTTATTGAACAACCATTTTTTGTCTAGTCTTATAACTGACTGCAGCAATCTGATTTCCTAAAGGATTTATTCACATTTAGCTACTTTGGGAATAAATACTTTGATTTTCACCTTTTTTCCGTCTCATTACAAAGAGGGTTCCTACTGCTTTCTATCCACAGCTTTAAAGGTTGACTGCAGGTGAAAGTCCCTCAGCTTTCTGGCTGCCATAATACTGCTGATGCTTAGAGCAAACCTCCACCTCTTGTTTTGCTAGTTATTGTGTAATTAGCTCAAACTTACAAATGTTTTTGATCACTAAGTTCAGCCTGAATCGATCCACTTCTTTCTGTGGACAAAGATGCACCAGGCTTCTCCATGGCTGATCTGAAATGTGCCGCATCTCTGGTGACGACTCTGGACCGAACAGCCGCTACGGTCTTTAAAGGACGGACAGACTGCCAGTCCGTCTCATGCATGCTTGTGATTGTAAATCATCCATTTTTACCTGTCTTTGTTTTCTCCTCACTCATTGTTATGGTGCAGCAGGTAGTGATTATAAGGACTACAGTAAAAACGTATCCGAATGATTATAAATGTCAAATAATAAATTTTTTTTTTGCTTAATGCATTTTTTTTTTTTTTTTTACACACACATCTATCCATCTTTTTTCATGAGTTTTTAATTTGGGATTTTCTGAAAACATCCAGAGTGTTAGAAAATGTCATGTAATTTTTTTCTGTTCTTTTTTCCTCTTTTTCCATCCAGAGATGCTCTGGATGTTTTTTTTATAACATCTTGGTATAAGAGATTTGGGGAGCTAAGGTTAATAGCATATAAGGATACTTTTTTTGTCATAGTTTAGATTGTAAATCATAATTATATTATTTCAACCTGTGTAAATGTTGCATGAGCACTGTTGGGGGGGATGGGCAACCAGCCCTGTAGCCCCGTCAAAATACTGGAAACTGGAAAAGAAGTTCACCTTCCAGGAGTGGAGCTAAATATAAATGTGAAAAAATGTTGAAAAGTTCAGACCATATTGATACTTTAGCGCAGCAGGACTCTGACCTGAGGGTTTTGTATGTGATTTCCTGCACATCCAGACCAAAAAGCTCTTTAGCCGTGTGTTTGAAAACATGTTCCAGGAATCCTTCAGAGCCTCTGCCATCGTGCCTCATCAGCGCCTCCTCCCCACCTTCTCCCAGCCTGCAAACACATCAGACAGTTAAAGAAATAGATTGACTGAAACCGACCGAGAAGGTTCCTGGTATCTGTTTAGCTGATCACATCTTTTATTATTCAGCTGAATCAATTGAACTGAACTCACACTTGGTCCAGTGGAACAGAGTCCAGCTCCTCCACTGATACTTTCCTCTTCTCCATCAGGTGATAGATCTCCTCTGAAACACCAAATAGAAAATTCTTAAAAAAAAAAACTAACTACACAGCTCTGAGCATTCAGATATTCTATGAAAAATAACTATGATCTACTCCGATCTCTCTGAATGGATGCCATGATGGATCAACTAGGTCGTTATTATGGTTTTGGAAAAGGAGAAAAAAAAAAAAAAAAGAGTAAAGATAAAACATAAAAATGATTTTTTATTTAGTTTTAACTTCCGATTTTCAATTCTATTTTAGTTTTAATTCCTTAGCATTTGTTAGCAGTTAGAATTTTAGTCTTTTATGTAAAACAACTTAAGTACCGGGGGGAAAATAGACAAACAAAAAATAATAGAAAGAAAATCCCAGACAGACTGCACTGCAGCTTCATAAATGGCCTGACTCCTGTACTGCCATCTGGTGGCGTAATGCGGTACAGTAGGGGGAAAAAGTGAAGCAGGACAATAGACCTAATAATAATAATAATAACAATAATTATAGGACTTTATTGATGTCAAATTGGAGAAATTTACCTTTGTATTTAACCCCTCCCCTTGGGAAGCAGTGGGCTGCCATTGTGTGGCACCCAGGGAGCAGTGTGGGGTTGAGGGTCTTGCTCAGGGACCCAGAGTGGCGGACTGACCTCATATTAATGCATTGTGATGAAGACCCAAACAATAATAAAGCCCACTCTCTATTAAAATTCAGTTAATTTTAGTTACTTTTGTAAACTCTCGTAACACTTTCAGTATGTTTTTTCCAAGTTTTCCAAAACTAGAACTAAAGTTTGAAACTAAACTTTCCAACCTTAGTTCTAGTTTTAGTCAACAATAACATTGGTTAAAATAATCCTCATCTTTTGTGTAAACATTCTTCCAAACAAAAACGTGTTTTTTTTCTTGTACGATGTCCATGCTGTGCTCCAAAGAGACCAGCAAAGCTCTTAATAGAGCAAAAAAACACTTTCTGTTAGATTTGTACATTACTAAAGAAATCATTTAACATGCTTAAGAAAAATACTTTTAATAAGATGCATTATGAGTTAACAGACATAGACGATTGTTTAATCGAATTAATACAGAAATAAGCAGCAACTGAGGACGACGGCAACAGGGAAGTAAGCGATACGTCTACTACCCGTGTGACGAATCCTTGCTTAGCGAGGTTATTTTCAGTGACGAGGCACGCAAAGTTAGCAAAGCTGTTTTTTCAGTGACGAGGCGGATTCGTCACAACCCGTCACTGCAAACACAGACAAACCTCGTAAAAGAAGAAAAACGGATTAAGATAAAATGGACCAGAAGTGTAACATTAAAAGAAGAGAAAAGTATAACAAAGAGAGTTGGGGGCGGGGCTTATAGCTAATCCTGCGCAGAATAGGGGCCGGAAATTGACTGCAATAACTTATAATCCAAATTTATTCAAACGCAATTTTCAAAACTCAGAGGCATTTCATTTTGGTCACAATACATTTAACAAGAGGGTGACACAAAATTTCTCATTCCAGCCGTTTAGGTGGCAGAAATACGCTGAAAGTGCTTTAGTCCCACAGAGAAGAGAAAGCTGATTTGCAGATAGCATGCAGACTCATTAATGCATGAAGAAATAAGCACTTTTTCACACGAAGGTTACAGAAAGTCATCAAACAATGGACGCTGGACAAGAAAGCGCTTAAGGTTGTAAAAAAAAAATTAAACCCTAAAGACAAAAAAAAAAATAAGTAAAGAGTTTTGTTCATCCAGTGGAGAATCAGGTAAAGTTTCTTTAACTGGCTTAGAATAAACTACATCTGATGATCAACAAGCCATATCAAAGCAGGAGGAAAGGTGCGGCATTAGCCTCAAATCAGCTAACTGATTTTTATGAATTAACCATCAGCAGTAGTGTTCGGTTAACTTAAGATAACAGCTGTATGAGTTCAGTCAGGTTTCCCCTCAGGATTGGGTCACATGAAGGGAGGAAAACGTACAATAACATTGGAAGTGTTTAATTTCTCACATTATTGTCTGTTTTGGGTTTAAAGCCCACATAGCTCCCAGATAACAGCTTGTTCATCAGGCTACTTGAAAAATAAAACAGAAGCTGGTTATTGTGGAATTAGAAAACAAAACACTAGAAATATAAATATATTTTTTGAGTTTTTGCGGCACTAGTGGCTTGTATTTTTTATTTTTTGGACAGTAGGCTGACAGGAAAGGAGGTATGAGAGGGGGAGAGACATGCGGCAAAGGACCACGGGTCAGATTCAAACCCGGGTCGCCTGCTCTGAGGACTACGGCCTCTGTACATGGGTTGCCAACCACTGCGCCACCAAAGCACGCCCCCTAGAAATATCTTTTGCGTTAAACTACACTTCAGGGTTTCCAGACTATCCCAGATGTTCTCTTTTCTAGCTCCTCCAAACATGTCTGACTGTGCAGATTTGTTCAGCAGCACTTGGAGATGCTCCAAAACCAGAATCAATTGACTGATGTCAGTCCAAAAAAAGAAAATGAAAAACAATCCACTGGACTTTGTTTCCAAGTTGCACTGTACTGCAAACTGCAGTGAAGACTGATGTCAGATGTCAGCTTTAGTACAATTAGCCGGACAGCAATGGTTAAAACATTCATGTTTAGATGTTATAATGATTTGGCCGTTTGTAGCGCCTGAGTGTGGGTGTAATGTTTGGGTTTTCTACATGGCTTTAAAAAAAATTTTGAGTAGAAAAGAAGTAAAACAGGTTTCAAAAGGAAGTGGTTTGATTAAAAAGCAATCTAACCAGAATATTTTAAGTACTCCTACAGAGATCAAAGGGCCTTCACACCATGTGGAGATTTAAACCTTCTTACTTGAGGTGAGGACACAGTCGACGTCTCTGGTCTCCATTAGACTGTTGTAAAACTCCTCCCTGACGGCCTCCAGCTTCTTATCAAAGCAGGGAGCCACCACCATGTGATAAACCTTGTCTGGACTCAACTTCTGTGGGAACAAAAGGAGAAAAAAAAGAACATTAGTGGAGGGACAAAAAGAACTGATCTGGACAGGACACACAGTTCATGTTTGTTACAAATAGTGACAAATCCTCTAAAACACTTCAGGGTTGGTGGAGGTGGTTTGGTGCTAAAGCAAAATTATTATTTTTTTATCTCATCTGCTGTAGGCATATCTTTCTTTTTTTCCCTCCCTGCTTATTAAATGCACCTCTTTGATTTTCCACCTTTTCTCCATACTGAGAGGCATGTGTTCACCTACAGTCAGGGTGAGTCTGAGTGGTTTGAGTCCAGGATTGAGACAGACAAGTTTCTAACAGTTATGTACAAATACAGGGTTTATACAGGAATTGGTAACTCTTAATTAATGCTTTTTAATGCTCTTAGAAATAATTTTAATGAGATCAACAAGTACTCATGACTCTCATATATACACGGCAAAATCTTTCGTCATCTTTACCCTCGACAGGCTGCAGCCATGTACCGAATTCCTCGTTTTCCAGCCAGTTTTGTGGAAATTTACAATTTCCCATTCTCTAGCTTTTTCTCCGCCTTGAGCTTCTTTCCCGAACAAACAGCTTTACGATCAACTGGAAGCAGTTTCACGCAAATATATCGCAATATATCTGACGAAATTGGTTTTATAAACTTTTTTTTAATAAAGAATTTTAAATGCCACGATAATCACATTTAATGAGTTTTAATGCCAATTAAGGCCTTAATTTAAAAAACAATAATTTAATGACTTTTAATTACTTTTAATGACCTGCAGAAACCCTGAAACAAAGAAGTGAATGTGTTAATAAAAACAGGATATGTGGCCATTATGCTCATTTAACTTCAGCAAATCAGACTAATTAAATGGACTGTGGAAGAAGATGGAACCTTAGAGATTTTAAATGTTGCCTATGTGTAAATCAACCTCATAGTTTGAGCTCAAAAAGCAGAACCTCACCGACCTAAAACCTGTTTCAATTGACTAGATGAAGAACAGGTGTTATAGTTAAACTCAACTCTGTTTGTTTTTGGGTAAATTAACACTTCAGATTGTTGCTACTTCCCTCAATAACAACAACTTTATAATTTACTGCTAAATTCTCGACTCAAAATGACCAGAAGGCTCAAAGTTTATTAGCTAAAAAATAAGATCAATACAGGAAAAATAAGATTAATTTGTGTAAAATGCTTCTACAACTGAAAGGCTTTAAGCATGAAACCTACAGAGCAAGATGGACAATCCGATACTGCAGGAACCCTGCAAGTCCCAACTAGTTTGGACAAATTCATTTTGGTTGATTAAAAAACTAATTTCAGAGAAGATCAATAAAGACCAATAATATCAATAAAGTTCAGGAAAAAAAAGACTTTAGATGGAAGCTCAGCACATTAGTAGCATATGACTGAGGTTGATGGAGGTCATGTTCTGGGTTGACAGGAGGTCAGAGGCAGTACAGTGTGAATGGTCTTTGAACTGTGACGTCTACTCTGCCGCATGCAAAGGATTCTCAACAACACTGAGCTTCGTTCTCCACCAAACCTCAACATTTAGAGTAAACTGGACCACAGCCAGGAGCCCCAACCTATTTAAACACAGGTGGACTGGGCTCAAACATCAACTCCAGCCTGGTGTCAGACTACCAGATGTTAAGGGGAGTTCCAACAGCTGTGGACACAAACAAAAGCTGCAGAGCTGCAGTCCAACACCCAGCTGATATTTAAATATCAGAGTCCCCCCCCATGGTAACTCTGTTTTACTTTAGATCCGCTGCTCTGATCTAATCAACCTTCAGCTTTATTTGGTTTTCTTCACTCTGCTGGGTCAGCTTTACGGTACCTGGACATATTTTTAGCATAAATTTGGCTTTATTGATGTAGAGAACATAAAAACTTTAATTTTAAGGCTTATTTTATTATTTTATGCTCCCTTTAATCTAAATACTTTATCCCATTAATGCTCAAATATAATCTTCTGAAAATACAACCACTCCAGTTTGATTTCTATTCTTTTATCATTTCAATTGTAAGCGACGGGGATAAAGTCTTTGTTTCTCAACATTGAGCCTTTGATTGTAGAGAACGCCTCCGCTTTATGAACACTTTTAATTAATCTGCCGCCGTTTCACGTTTCTCCTCTCCCTGTGAGTCGGCGTCGCATGTTGAACATCTGTCCACTTTATCCCCTCAGCCAATCGCAGTTATCAATGTTTAAAAATAACTCCATCACTGAAAAATAAATAACTGTCCCACTAAGCCCGTTACTCCCAAAGCTTCCCACGACGTATCAGGTGAGGTCCTATCATAGCAGCTGAGGAGTATGCTACCACTGTGTGACTAAAGCTGAACAAAGTAGCTATAAAAAGGCTTCCTGTTAAAAAAGATACAAGTAAAGAAGGATCAGGTGCAGTGCTGCTACATTTGCTCTTTTAATGAGGGAAGTGAAAATTCAACACTTTTCTTCTCTGAGAAGATCGATGTCAGCTTTTACATTAAGTATAATGAGTAGGACTGATCAGAACAACAACATTTCCAGGTTAGTTTAGATGAAAACATTAGACTGGAGAACTAAATACACATTAGACATGCTGTCAGTCTATGTATTTAACCAGTTTATGATCAGTATCATTTGCCGACAGGAGATGAAAAATAATTAGGTCATGTCAGTCAGTAAGGCTATAAAGCAATAGTTTGTGTTCATGTCCGATGAACGTAGCAGCTGGAGGCTGGGAAATGTCGCCCGCTGACATTCCATGAATTTTTTAAAGGTTTTGTTAAGCTGAAACAAAGGAGGTGATTGATCAGCAGCTGTGCTCTGTCACGTTGGTTAGCAACTCTAACCAAGTGAAAAAAACTCTAAGCAAGTGCTTTGGAGCACAGGAACAAGAGAGCAAACATCTGAAAGGAAGGTTAAATAGTATTCTTTTTTTTTTTTCTCATCAGTGTGTGTTAGACATGGATTAACACAATTTAAAGTGGTACATCGACTTCATTTCACCAGGGACAAACTGGCGAGAATTTTTCAGGGAGCCGATCCGACTTGCCCTAGATGTAAACAGGTGCCAGCCAACACATCCCATATGTTTTGGTCTTGCCCCAGCCTCAAAGAATGCTGGATTGAAATCTTTAAAACTTTTTCATCTGTCTACAGGAAAGACATTGAACCGGTCCCTCTGGTAGCCATTTTTGGTGTGGCACCGGGGGGGATAGAATTAACGACAGCTCAAAGGAAGGCAATGGCATTTTCTTGGCTGTTAGCCAGGAGATTGATCCTATTTAATTGGGTAAAGGCAGTTCCACCAACTCATAAACGATGGATAGAGGGGGTAATGGCACACCTAAAGCTAGAACATCTTCGATTTACGTCACAGGGCAACCTTTTATTTCTTATTTTGAATCCGAAGTTCCATCTGCTTCAGCATAATCAGCAGTTTTATTTTTGTTTGTTTTTTCCTGTTTGGTGGAATTATTATCATTATGACTGTTATTCATACTTATGTTTTTGGTTTTCAACCCACGGATGTCTGGAACATGGGTTGTATGTGCGGGTGTAGTAATTGTCTTATTGATAGTTGCTTTTTTTGTTTGTTTTTTTGTGATGTCGGTGTGATGTAATTATAGAGTCTTTTTGTTTTGTTTTGTATGCCCTGGACGGGATGTCTGTTGGTTTAATATGAAAAACTAGTAAAAACAATTTGATTATTATTTTTTTTCCCTCTAAAAAGTAAGAAAAAATCTGCCTTGTTTACAGAAGGCGCAAACACAACAAAAAACGTCCAGTCATTATGACCTAATCTAAGCTCTTAAATGTGAACTCACCTGCTGCTTGGAGAAATAATCCTTGACCAGGCAGCCCATGATCTGCTGGGGGGATCTGGCCGTGCAGATATGAGGAGTGACCAGGCTGCCCAGGACCCGTTCAGCGTAGCGGATCCAGCCTGCAAACAAACCCCAGCAGCTGAAACGACCTGCAGTCTGATATTTGAACCGAGACAACACGACTTTTATTACAGCTCATAAAATAATCCCACCAAGAAATCCCAGACTGATAAAGGTTTAGCAGCAGAAGGTCTAACTATTTAGTTAAATAAGGGAAGAATTCTACGGATTCCACATCTCTGAGATCTTTTTACAGCGTTTTTGTGAAAACATAAAAGTAACCCAGTAAGTCTTTCGGAATATAAAACAATTATCGGTGGGATGTTTTTATGATGCTTTGTTTCCTTTAAAGTGAAAACCCAAAAAAACCAGAACCCAACAGATGTTAGATCTGAAGGGAACTAGTTGGGTTGACAGCTTTGAATCCTGATAAAACCATGAAGCAGAAAGTCTGAAAGATTTGTAACCATCTAATTACATTTCTGCACAGTTTTTTAAGTAATTCATCACATGTTTGTTAGAAAGAAAGAGGACATTGTTAAACTTCTTAATGGGGATTTTTCATGTGTTAAAATTCCAGACGGTCTGAGGTAGGCCTGGGTGATTAAACAGATTTTTACCGTCATTCACTACGATAATTTGCGACAATTTTCCCATTTCGGTAAAATAAATAAATGTAATTCTGCTGTTGTCCTGTGTGCGCTGGTGACTGGTATTTCCTTCCCCTTTAAGACACTGCAGCGTGTCTGATCACGTGACTCCAGTGATCCAGTAGGAAGCGTAATCAAAGAGAATGGCGGATGAGCCCAGTAAAGAAGCGTCTAACTCAGCTGTAAATCAAATTGCATAAGTTAATCCTGTGGAGCCGAGCGGGAGCAGAGATGAAGCTGATCACGCAGAGAAGAAGTTGTCATGCTACGTTCACACCGGACGCCGCAGAGTTTACATGCAAAGTCAATGGTTGACGTGCATCAAGGCGCAGCAAAAAGTCCTGCAGCGCGTCTGAGCAGCTGAAGCAGCGCGTCGGGAGCGTTTAAGCATCTGACGCGCGTTACGCGCCGCAAACGCGCTGCCGCTCGAGATGGAAAAATTTAACTTTTGCTGCTCGACGTGCCGCGTCAACCAATCAGAGAAGCTGATCTGGGAGCTGGCAGAGAGAGAGACACAGCGCTGATGATACAGAACGCTGTGATCACTCCTCTGAAACAGTTTATTAACGCTTAAATTCACTTAAAATGCTGAAACCTGCCAACAGAATATGCTCGCTTTTATTATCCTGGTGCATGCAGTTTGGATTATTTAGATGAAAACCACCAACCAGCTGCCACGGTGAACCGCGAGGAGACGACCCGGTCAGAGGCTACTGTTGAATGGGATTCCTACTGACAGTGCACCTCTGGTATGTGGGGCTCTGAGCGGCTCCGACAGAAATGATATTGGAAGGCAGGATAGTAATCTGGATTAACTAACTGCACTGATGAAGTTTTCAGGTGGATTTTCTCACTTAAAAATCTATTAAAACTACTTTATTCCCACTGATCACAGCAAATATAGCTGCAAGGCAAAGAAAGGATAGGGTAGCTCCGCCCAACTCGCGTCAGACACACTTTTGCAACGAGCAGCCAGAGCAGCAAAGCTGCTTCAGCCGCGCGTCAGAACTAAACTGGTACAAGCAGCAAAAATGAAGCAGCAGATGCGATTTTGCTGCTCCTGCTGCGTCCGGTGTGAACGCAGCATCAGAGTTGTGCACGCGGCAGACCGCTTTTGTAACCCTCTAATTACATTTCTGCAATGCACGATCAGTTGGGTGGCATCAAAATTATATGAT